CAGTCACTCCTGTGTACCTCTACAGAGAGTCTCCATGAGGAGTTGGTTAAGTATTTCTTGTCTTTACCTTAAGGACAACATAGACATTCTTCACCAAGTTTAACCCCTTGGTCACGCAATCATACTAGATCCAACATTAACCCCTCAGCTTAGTCCGTACAGCGCTGATGATATCCCATGCTTCCCGTTTCAATTGGTGCATTAATTGCCAACTGGTCAGCTCTTTCATAACCATTTACTCCTTCGTGCTCACGTATGTATATCCAAATGATGGAAACTCAGCAAAAAGTAGTCAAGCAAGAGGTAGATAACGATACAAGTAGAAAGTAATATCAAGAGATGTACGAACAACAGGCTGGGAGAGTGTACAACAAATGTATGTGTAGGCAACTGTCAGTCCCTGCTGACTGTGGCGATGTGCCGATGGTTTTGGAAACAGCGTCTCCTATGACTCTGATATCAGACCACGGCGTGAGTCAGAAGTTACTGAAGGTCCGTCCACTGCAGTCACATCTTTATTGTAAAATGGACGTTGGCTGATTAAGTAATTGATTAATTGACTGACTGATTGAAAGCTTGGGTGGTTGATTGATTGGGTGATTGATTAACTGACTCGCTGATTGAAAATTTGAATGATTGATTGATTCAGTCGTTGACTGATTGGGTGATTTATTTATCGACTGACTGATAGAAAGCTTGTATGATTGATTGATTAACTGACTTGGGTGATTGGCTTAAAGATTGACTCATTGATTGGTTGATAGCTTGAAAGCTTGACTGACTGATTTATTCAGTGGTTGATTGATTAGGTGATTGATTTATTGACTGATAGGATGCTTAGGTGATTGGCTTAAAGCTTGACACATTGATTGGTCAATTGAATTGAAAGTTTGACCGAATGGTTAATTGATTGAAAGCTTGGGTGATTGATTGATAGCTTGATTTATTTATTTTTTGAAAGCTTGGGTGATTGTTCGAAAGATTCATTAGCGGGTTGGTTGATTGATTGATTGATTGATTTTAGTAGCTCCAGCATGAGAGCTCGATATATCTGTTCACACACCATGTCTAATCTACCGAACGCTGCCCTTTATTTTTCATTACTAGTGTGCCCAAAGTGAAATGCCCCAGCGAGGAAAACTGGGTTTTTGTAGAAAACGGTGTTTTCCGCATCTCCAGCCTGGCCAGCCAGAGGTATGGCAAGATCACCTGTGAGTATGCCCCTATTGTCAGGGGTAAGGGAGACTATTCGGCAAGACATGCTGAACACATCAAGCCGATGTTGGATGGCTCCCCTTTGGTGTCTGATTTCTTCAAGGTGATTGAAATTCCGATTGATGTTTATTAAAGTATTAAACAGCAGTAAACACACACACACACATACACACACACACACACACACATATATATATATATATATATATATATATATATATATATATATATATATATATATATCGATTAGACTCCAGCAACAAAACCAGAATACACATTTTTTAGAGCATACATGCAACAGCCCAAAAAAAAAAAATGGTATCCTTACGTCCTATAATGACGTAATTTTTTGTTATTTGAAGCCCCACTCTGGCTTTTGCCAGAGGCCGCAATATAGGCAGGCCATAAAAATGGCCAATTGTCTGAACGCGGTTTCTGGGACCTCTCCACGGCGATCCTCATCCACATTGTGGCACCTTGTGTCATCGGGTGTTTATCGCTTGTGTGATGTCCTGGTGGGGTAGAAAGTCAGTCAGTCAATCAAGCTACTCAGTGTAAATTTGTCAAGAAAAACCACAACAGCCAAAAATTGCTGGGGTTATGTCAGAGAACTACTTCACTGACTTCAGGGCAAGAAAGCTCTTTCGCAGATCCATGACAGAAAAATGTCTATTTCTAAACACAATCGACCAACACAGTGAGAGCATACACACCAATCTTTAATGCTGTTCACAATAAACAATGCTGCAGTTCGCGTTACAAACCCAGTCACCCACCTGCCCCTACAGTACCGTACCGGCCTTACAGCTGTGACCAGGGTCCAAACCAACAAACTCCCTTAAAGCTCTTTCCGACGCTACTGCGCCTTACACTTGGAGCTACTGAACGTCTTTAGCCAGAGTGAGTGAACAGACCATGTCACGTAAACTGATCAACCCTTCAAGGACCACCTCGCTAATGTCTAACTAAATACATAAATGAATACTGTTATAAATACTTGTAAATAACCTACCTCTTGCTAACGCAGACTAACACCTGAATCATTCTACCGTCATGCTAACACCATAACACGAAGCTACCTGTCGCTAATATTTGTAAATAACGTAAAAACATCTAACTGTCAAAACAAAGTCTTGTTCCCCCCCCCCCCCCCCCCCCCAAACCCCAAGTCTGTCTCTCCTGCACCGCTCAATACTGAACCACGTCCGGCTGCATATATAAATCTGGAGCTGGTCGTGACTGAACAAAACTGTCGGAGAAAACCCGTTGCCTCGTCACCTTTGTTCAGTCACAAGTTCACTATTTATCATCATAATTTGCAATAATCCCATAGCCACATAGGACTCTGACAGGTTGGTTCTGCAATGCCCTTTAAAGGATACACAATTAACCAACACCTTCACAGCATCGACATTCTGAAGTTGACCTGCAGAAGATATGCCAACATTAAAGGAGAAACAGAGGCGGACTTTTAATCAGGTTTCAGCTGGGACTATAAGAATGTCAACTCTTTGTTGGCTACTGACAACAACAACAAATGAACGAAGCACGTATGATGATGTCAGTTCTTCATTACTTCATTCCTTTATTTATTCACTCTTGTTTGTTAAAACCCTTAAGAACTTGAAGGGTGATGTGACCAACAACATGCAGGCCACCTTAACTTCCTAGTGTATTTCCTAGTTCTTATTTTAGGTTAGGTGGAACTGTGAGCCGTGAGCTATTTTTTTAAATAAATCCTTCCTAAAATCGGTGGTTAGCACGTTCTGTAGTGGTTCACAGCGAGACTGTGATATCTGTAGATTTCAAGTGTTTTGTTTTAGCTGCAAATGGGTAATTTGTATAGTGTTCTATTTTTCCCCTCAGGTGGCATGCATCTCGACTTCAGGCAAACGTTACCACAATATCCACGCCGGTGTGGCTTACAATGAGACACTTCATGCCAGATCCAGCCAGACCCCACTCCCAGCTAAGGCTCTAGGATACGATGTGTTTATATTTGGTGAGTGTAGTGAGCTGTCGTTAATCCTTTCAACTCCAGGCAGATGCTACTATATCCCAGTGGTTTTCAACCTGGGGAGAAGGGAGGGGGGGGGGAAAAGGACGTATCAAGCAATTTTGATACTGAGTGTGTTTGTACTAATAATAACTTGTCATACTATTTTTGCTTCATTTTAATTATAAAAATTAAAAGAAACTATTTTAAAACTATAGGTACAAATAAAATCACAGGATATTATGACAGTTTCAGTTGTGTAGATATTTTTCTCCAAGTGCTTGGATATTTCCTGTTATCCTCCTTTTTTTTGGGGGTGGAGGGGGTGTCCACATTTCTGAAAGAGTCGGGGAGAGGGGGCATTTTGTCATATATTTAATGGGCTGCTACCCGAGAAAAGTTAAAAATCATTGAGGTATCCAATGATGACTAAGATAAGCAACGCCTGGTTGAGCAGTTAAGAACACCTGACTCTCATTCGGGATAACCAACTTAGAATCTCCAGTAAGGGAGTGAAGTGTATGCGCGTGAGTGCGTGTGTGTGTGTGGTGTGCGTGTATGTGTGTGTGCGTGTGTGTGTGTATGTGTATGTGTAAGAGAGAGAGTGTGTTTGTGTGTGTGCGTGTGTGTGCACGCGCGTGCGTGCGTGTGTGTGTGTGCGTGTGCGTGCGTGCGTGTGTGCATGGGTGTGTAAGAGAGAGAGAGTGTGTGTGTGTGACTGTTGGACTGGTGTAGGAACTGAAGTACACTGTGTGTACCACACAACAGGTCGCGGAAAGATGCTAGACATTTATACAGCATTGTATGGGCGATAATCTGTGTTGGCATTTTTTGAAAGTACACAGGCAGTTGTAGATAGTCATAACTACCAAAGCCACACAGCCTCTCTCGATCTTCCTCTGACCCTTTTCCTCTCCGAATTTCCTACCGTTACGATGTACTCTAGCTTTCTCCTTCTCGTGACATAACCACAGAATATAGATTGTCTCCTCCTGACTTGGACAATCCACATGAGCAAGTTTCTTTTGAGACATCTTCGTAACTTTTTTAATCTGTCTAGGGTGTTTTCATCATTAGTCTATAAAACCACATCTTCCACGCAATGTTTGACTAACTGGCAATACCTAGCCATGATTCTGTAAATCATGCAGGATTTATACCGCTCTTGAGAAACTTTATCTGAAATAGAAACTCGCTAACATTTAAATTCATATAACCCGATTGTGTTTATTTTAAAAAGTGATTAATAAAAATATGACGACCTAGATCCACTCCCGTCAATAACTGTTAGAAATAGGGGCGCCGCCACACAGAAGTCATAAAATGAGATGGGCATCTCGACTCCCTTATGTTTTTCTATTGGTGGGGCCTCAAGCGGCTTAAGTGTTTTTTAAGTGGATAATAAGAATAATAATAATAATTAATTATATAGTTTTGTATTATTAATATTTTTATTATTATTATTAACCTCAACGTCTTGTAAGCATTTGATGGAAGACAAAAAATATAATACTGTATTCGAAATAACAAGAAATGTACTAACGAATACTTTATACGAGAATGCTTCTACATGGTTAAACAAAGGGGGAGGGGGCGCATAGCCACATAAAGAATTTTTTTTTTGGGGGGGAAGGGGAGGGGAGCCTCGGTTCCCTTAAAATTATCTAGAAGGATCAGCCGCCCCTCCCCCCCCCCACTCCCTCAAGGCGCCTGCTCCCCATATTCCGGCGCCTATGATTATTGATATATTTACCTGTATGGGCGTCAGTGCGTGTTCTAATTCTTGTACATGGTCAAATCTATAGGGTTTGACTCCACATCGAGGATGGCGTGGATTCGCAACCTTCCAAAGACTAGAGAGTTCTTTCTGAATAAGCTGGGTGGTTTGGAGCTTGAAGGATACAACATTGTTGGTGACGGGACAGTCCAGGTTTGTCATCTTGTTGAATATCTATCATTCTTTTTCTCTTGCTGCCTTTCTAGCCCGTTCTGTCTGTTAACATCGCATGCACATCTCCCCATCTTTCTAGCCCGTTCTGTCTGTCAACATCGCATGCAGATCTCCCCATCTTTCTAGCCCGTTCTGTCTGTCAACGTCGCATGCAGATCTCCCCATCTTTCTAGCCCGTTCTGTCTGTCAACATCGCATGCAGATCTCCCCATCTTTCTAGCCCGTTCTGTCTGTCAACATCGCATGCAGATCTCCCCATGCTTTTTTTAACTCCACTCTCTAGCTTCCTTCTCCGTGTTTTTTTTTTTTATCTTCCTTTATTTCTATGTCCCTGCGGGTTCCAGTGAAAAGACATTCTAGTTATAATCTTCTCCGGTTTTTCTCAGTGGGTTTATGTTTCATGGCATGGTTTCCGACTAGAGTGCTAGAGGTTCCGGGTTCAACCCCTGGTAAGGGCTAGGAATTTTTTTACGTGTACTTCTAGTAATTCCCCCTGGTCTCTGGGTAGTGAGATCGGACGCCCGTACGCATTATTGCGCACGTAAAAAATGCCTTGACAGTTGGGAATTGAAAAGAGTAGCCTAACGGCGCTAACCAGGCAAAATTTAGAGTTAGAAATCTACCCAAAGTATTTTAGGATCCTCGCCGGTGCTACAGAGTCTGTGCACTGTGAGGAGCTTCTTCGGGACTCAGACTTGAGTTAGAAGAAGAACTAATGGGTTACATCCGTGTGCCATGATGCTGATCCGTTGTTCAAAACCTCTAAAAACGTTTATTTATACTTAAAAGGTGTTCTTTTATATTGCTACGTCTTTGGTCAGATCCTTTAATCTTATGTAACATACATCTGCTTCTATGCTTAACATAGATAAGACATCCAGCCGGCCTTGTTGCATTTTTGGACTGTTTCGATTTTCACTGTTCAACTATACTTCGACTGATAAAATAAACGCTCAGCTCCCAGGATAATGACAATTTATGTGTGTCCCTCCTATTGTGATGCCCTAAACACGTGCCTAGTGTGCTTACAATTTAATCAGACCTTGTGTGTGTCGTTGAACCCTACCAGGACCGTACAACGAGCGACAATACCCGGTGACACACAGTGCCTCTATTCGGATGAGGATCACCTGGACACAAGTCCTAGAATCCCAGTTCAGCTGTTAGATTATATCAGGACCCCCGACTTCAGCCGGGTAGGGCTTTTAACTCTTTCAGTCCCAGGGGGTTTATCGTCAGAGGCCCAAGGGGTAGTCAATAAGGACGTACAACCATGCGTTTTTTGGGCCTTCAGGTAGGAACATATGAACGTATGCTGCGTTCCTTGGGACTCAAAGAGTTAAATAAGGAAACATTGCTTCCCACGTTGCACTATATATTTTACCACAGCACAAACTTTCAAGGGACACAATCCATGATTTCAATAACCGTTATGCATTATACGAATTATGCGTGTATATCTGGTTTTACTACAGGCTTTGTTACCGATACTGACTGGCAGCACAGAACACGACCTACCATCGGCCAGGAGAGATGACCCACTGGCTACGGAAGTGGATACTTTCCCCTGGATATGGAATCTTTATAAGAAAGCTGGATATGTGACAGCCTGGGCAGAGGATATGTCATACATTGGGACATTTCAGGTGAGTGTAGAAAATAGCCTGTTTGTTTATCAAATCTTTTACACGCATTTATTCAAGTCAGTAGATAAAAAATGTCTTTCGTCTTTCTAGATATCTTGTCGTCCATTTTTTTTTATTTTTTTTTTTACGTATCCAGAAACCATGAGTTGTAAACCCTTTGGCTCGGTACTATGGATATCGCAACCCTTCGGCCTTGATTCCATTATAGGTACCGTTCATCTGGGAGAAATGTGGCTTTTCTGCCTACCCCCGGGAGTGAACCCGGACCACAAGGAGTTCGTCACACGGCCGCCGCGAAAGTCAGGTTTAACCAACTTCGCTAGAGAGCCGGGCATCTTGTCGTCCATATGTGGGATGCATTTTTTTTATTATTATTATAAAGCCCCACTGTGGCTTTTGCCGGGGCCTTAAATATTGTCGGGCCTTAAATATGGTCTCACTGCCGAACGGTGTTCCGGGATCTTTCCACGGATGATCCTCATCCGCATGATGGCACTTTCTGTCTGCGGGTGTTAATCGCTTATGTGATGTCCAAGTGGGGTACAACTTACCTTACTGTTTTTCTAGACGGGAGAGTTACATTATGCTGTAGTTATTGTATCCATCTTTAACATGTGGGATGCAATTTTTAGTTATGTTGATGCCCCACCTTAGAGGCTCTAAATATAGCCGGGACTTAAATATGGCCTAACAGTTGAACCGGGTTTCCGGGACCTCTCCACGGGTTATGCTCATCGCACTTTGAGTCGCCGGGTCTTTATCGCGTCTTTGATGACCTGGTGAGGTACAACTCACCTATTGTGCTGTAGAGCCTTGACAAAAGTGACTTGCAAGAATAGCTCTGTTAAGAAATGGCTTCCCCCATAAGGTCACGGGATTTTCGGTCATCGTTTTTATCGCATCTTTCTTTTTCAAATGTTCTGCATACAACCTATCTGAAATCATTTTTTTTTAATGTGTCTCTATTCCTTTCCCAACTCTCCCCTCTATAAAACATAATCCTTGGCATTCTGCCTCCATGAAATCAGTCCGAATACCTGTATTATTCATGTCCCTCTTGCACACACATGTTTATTGTAGTAGAGACCCTCCGTGACATAGCCTACCACCCTGTAATTCATCATGAGTGGGTGAGTTTGATGGGGATAATTGTTTAAATAGATTGTAGTGCGATGTTTCTGACTAGGTTTGTTTAAAGAATTCTCCTAGAGTAACAAAAACGTAAAAGTCAAGGACACTTATTGTACCAGTGGTGCATCAGGCATACGACATGTATTTTTTTATAGGGTAATCGGAACTGAAAGCACATTGGCTGCCTTTACTTATCAGGGTACATTTTTAAGAACTAGAAGAAAAGACTGACACGTGTAGGGTGCTAATGGAAGTCCAACAGTTGATCCACTACAATTCTCGTCCAGACGATCTGATTATCTATACAGACGGCTCTGTGTTGAGAGGGAAGGGAGCTGCCTAGGGGTTCGTAGCGAAAGCCATTGAAAAATACTTAGTTAAAGACAGCCTAGCATGTGATACCGCAACGTCTAGCCTGAGAATGGAGATGGAGGCGGTCACTGCAACTTTCCGGTGGCTGGTGAACAAGATACATACACATTTCTTAACAGACTCTGAAAGCATACTGAGAAAGGTAAAGATAGTGATGCTTCGAGCAGAGTGGCATGCTTCGCTGGGAAGATCACGGGTAGTGAGCACACTCTGGATCTTTTCTCCAGGCTATGCTGGCGTGGTAAAGAATAAATAGGCAGACAGATTAGCTAAATCTGCAACACTGGGTGGTGAATTGATACATGACAAGGCAGATGCGGTCAAGACCCTTTAGGAACAAGTACCGAAGTCAGAAAAGAAAGTGGATAATTATGGCCTGGAGAGAATGGGGTACATAAGTGTAACCAGAGGCTCACTACACTCATAGGAAAGGCAAGACGGACTTATAAGTAGATAATGACCGGTATCATTAGTATTGGAACTTTGCACTGGTTGCTGAAGATGTGGACAGAGTGCATATGGCAATGCCCCGAGTTCTGTGATGCAGTTCTTGACTCAGCTCAGCTCAGCTCAACATCTCATAGCATTACCTGGTCCCCATTTTAGGCTGAGTTGATCTGGGCGCCAAGGTCAGTATTGACAAATAAAACTTCATCGATTAGGATTCGAACCCAAAACCTTCGGGCTGGCAGGAAAACGTCTGACCACTACAATACGGCAGCTCCCCTCTAGCATAACATCTTACTCCTGTGGCAAGGGATGAATGTCCAAGCAGGGATGGCGATTTCAAGACAGGCCTGACTGTAAAGCTAAATGATATTTATGTGTTTATGTTTGTAACTAGGCCTAGTCCTATAGTGCGTTTGCTGATGAAGACTTTCGAGCCACAACTGTCATTTTGCCGTTCGTAATTGGGGTATTTAGAAGCTAACTATGTTTACTTATTGTCTGAACTCCCAGGTTTTCTTCTGTCTAGTATGCACGTTTTAATGACTTATATTCTCTTTCTTCTATTGCCATACTGCTTTTACCGTAAAGTTTTGAAGAGAGAATTTAGATATAGTTTTCTGTCTTCTCCTAATTGCGTTGCTTGTATTTATGTCGTACTGTGTTTTTGTAGTATCTCTTTTACCTCCCCTGCCCTCCCAACCGCTCTCTTGGGCGGCCTCTTCACTTACAGCCTGTCGTTCTTACGTAGTATGCACTAGCTGGTAGCTAATGTGTTTCCGTTTAGACTAGATGACCAAATCATTTTGTTTTTATGTTCTGTGAAATCATTTGCCGGTAGTGTGCTAGCATTGTTCATAATTCTACGTTGGTGACTGTCTCTTCTCTTTGTCCTGCCTAAATTCGTTGTAATGACAAACTACTGGACGTCAATTTGCCTAGAGAAACCACACAACAGCCAGGAGCTCCTGGGGTTGGTTCTGCCACGTCCTGTAAAGGATACGCAACTAACCGTTGTAATGTGGCTTTAATGTTGTTCTACGTCCGTCTATATCTAGCCATGATAGCACAAAGTTAGTACGGATAATCCAATATGTCAGCTGCTTCAACTGAATTCTTCTTGTAAACATAATAATTTTATATTCAATAGATGCGACTCAAGGGATTCAGGGAACAGCCCACAGACCATTCCATGAGGACCTATTTCATGCTGGCAGAGCCCATGTACCACAAGTTCGCACCCTGGTGTATCGGCTCGGAGCCTCGGCATTTGAGGTTTCTCAACTGGTTCCGCGACTTGTATTCTATGTATGGGAATAAGCCTAAATTTATGTTTGGTTTCCATTCTGAATACAGTCACAGCTGTAACAATGAGCTCAAAAAGGTGTGTACTACCTTATAACTTTAGAAGCTTATTAGAAGCTTTTATTAATTTTGCTTTTGTTTGTTTGTTTGTCTGGTATAATTTTGGAGTTTAATTGTTTTTAAAGCTAATCTACAGAAGAAATGAAACACAGAAGTTCTCCAGAGAGATTAGGAAAAAAAGTGGACAACAACAAAAATCGAATTGCCATTTTTCTTTGTGTATTAATGGGACAATCTCTATAGATACAACGAGAGAGAGATAGATAGAGAGAGAGAGAGAGAGAGAGAGAGAGAGAGAGAGAGAGAGAGAGAGAGAGAGAGAGAGAGAGAGAGAGAGAGAGAGAGATATAAAGAGAGACGTTTAGTGAAATATGTTTGACAATGAATTTTTCAATTTAGTGTTTGTGTGCCTTTGTTTAAATGCATAACAGGAAGTAGCTTTGAATGGTTGCTTCACTGGAGGAGTGAGCATGCAATAGAATGACCAATGTCAAATTAAATCGATTATGAACACAACAAGAAAACATGCTTGCGATAAACAAAAATAAGCACCAGTGAAATACTTTAGCCACATTTAAAACAATGACAGACTTACGAAAACTAATCAAAGCTGGAAATTGAAAAAAAAAAAAATGAGCTAGAGACAGCAACGATAGATTAAAATCAAACAGGTGCAAATTCTACTAACACATAAAACCGCACCACTGTTATATTACCGCACTCTACTGTTACGCCTGCAGCAAATAGTAGGGATTAAATCTCAAAATGTTTTTGGGGTAAATGCATAGAAATATAATTCTCTATTATTTTCTGTGTGAGTTCAACGGCTCCATCGTGGGGTAAACAAGAATAAGCCTACTGCTCCCCCCCCCCCCCTTTTCCCCCAATGTTCCCTACAAGTATGTGGTGAGAGTCGACTAATTAGGGACTTCCTTCGAAGTCGAAGTACATCTGCCCCGGAGGCTAGCAACCAACCATTTTCACACCAGTAAAATTTATATGTAAAACGGTTGTGCATGCAACAATCACGCTCTGGAAGAAGACTAAATTTCAGATTTAAGGATCAACCAAAACCTTCTGCTAGAGTTTATAGTCGTGAACGCGAAAAAGAAGAAAAAGTCATCCATCATACAAAATATTTTTTTTTTTAAAGGAGTTCATAATTTGTACATAGGCGATATACACAGCAGGAGTAAAAGGGGCCAGATGGTCGTAGTATTTTCTGACCAAGTATACAGTTGAGTGACTGTTGAGATTAAAGCGGAAAGCCAATAACACAGCATGTGCTGTTTATGACTGACTAAACGCTTTAATCAGTCTTCAGTTCTATCTTAACGTCTATAAATTAGCTTGTTTCAGTGTTGGTTTGTGTTCTTTTTTCATTATTTCTTTCTGTTCTAGTTATTTATGATTAGTATCCTAACTTCCTTCATTTAATTCCAGTCTGATCTTTCTTGGTTTTTAAATTTTTTTTAATTATTATTTAAATCTTCATCAATGCTGTGGTTTTTTTTTTTTTTTTTTGTTCCTAAATTCATTAAATTACTTGTATCATTCCTGATCATTATCTTTCCTTTATTCAATTTAGTTTTTGTCTGCACGTTCTTTGTGTTTTTTTAATTTTGATCATTCTTGTTTTGTATAGTAATTTATTTCAGTTCTGATGCATCTTGATTTGTATCCTAACTATCTTTCTTGATTTCTATTTTGATCGTTTGTATTGTTATCACATCATTTTGTTTTTGAATAGCTTTGATCACTTTTGTCTGTTTCATAACATAGTTATATATATATATATATTTTTTTTTTTCGATTTTAGCAGTTCATTTGTATCCCAACTTTTATTTATTTATTTATATTGTTTTTAAATAATTTTTCTTTTATATATTTACATTTTTTCAATTCCTTGATGTGTGGCTAAGAAGCTGTTTGTTTGTTCGCAGATCGACGACGATTTGCTGGACCTACTGAATCATTTACATTCCAATGGACATCTTAATCAAACCATTCTTATTTTCATGGGAGATCACGGAGCCAGATTCACTGACGTACGCAGCACGCCTCAGGGAAAGCTGGAGGAACGAATGCCCTACTTTGCTTTCTATTTTCCTCCACATTTCATAAAATCACATCCTAGGGCTGTGGGGAATTTCAAAATCAACACCAAAAGATTGACTACACCTTTTGATATACACGAAACATTGCATGATATATTGAACTTTCAGGAGCAAAGGGTGGATCATACAAAAGGCAGGGGTATTAGTCTTTTTAAGGAAGTGCCCAAAAATCGGACTTGCGAAGAAAGTGGGGTAGAGCCTCATTGGTGTGCATGCCTGGAATGGGTGAAAGTGCACGATGAAGCCACGGTATTAGCTGTGTCCAAAGCGGTTATAGATTTTATAAATAACTTAACTTTACATATACGTGAACTCTGCTCCCTGCTGCAACTGGATCACGTTATCAGTCTTTCCCGTTTTACACCGAATTCGGAAGTGTTGCGGTACAAGAAAAGCTCTGACCAACACGGGGACCATCCAGACTTTTCCGATAACATGACCTTAGACTACGACTACTACCAGGTCAGTCTGATGACAAGGCCGGGCGATGGTCACTTTGAGGTCACGGTCAAACATTCCAGAAGGTCTAAACAACTTTGGGTCAGTGAGAAAGAACTGAGTCGAACCAACCGATATGGCAATGTACCTTTCTGCATCGCTGATAAATACCCCAACTTGAGGCCTTACTGCTATTGTGTATAACAGTTGTTATCGTGTTCTGTGATAAACTAGGAGCCGTCTTGGTGTAGCGGCTTATGTGATAAACTAAATGGTGTGCCGCTCCTTCAATTGACGTTTTATACAGTGCATTCTCTGGTGTTTTGTGCAATATGGTAATACCTCGAACTTCTCCTTGGTACAATTGTCGTACCACTGTTTGAAAGTCCGAAGAACAGTCTGTTTCTTAACTCACCGCCTGTAAATCGAAACTTGGTACTCTATGATTATGAAAGGCGATCAATAACTTTAGAGCCACAGAATCGCAGTCTGTGGTATATGTGCGTTGATTGTGACATATTTGTGGTTTGTCAACGTGTGCTATGTTGATCTTCAGATTATCACAGATGACATTAATGGCTTCCGGTAAATTATTTCCACTAATTAATTTTCACTAGCATTAAAATTATAATCATTTATTTTCTAGAGGGATCTTCTTGTGAGCTGTGGATGGCGACTGTGATGTCTTGATGTAGCAATAGCTATATGTGTTTGTGCAGTACATTAATAGGCTGATGAGAGAGAGAGAGAGAGAGAGAGAGAGAGAGAGAGTCATAGGGAGAGAGAAAGTTGGAGACAGAGATCAAAACATTCAAGTAGATAGAGTGATGTACAGTGACTTTTATCAAATAAAGAATATTGTGTGCAATAAATTCATGTCTTTGGAGGATAGGAAAATAATTATCGCAAGCTATTTACAGCCAGTTTTACCATAAGTTTGTGAATTCTGGGCAATTAATAAACAGGCTGAGCAATATCTTGAGGCCTCGGAGATCTGGTTTTACAGAAAAATCCTTAGAATTCCTTGGACAGCTAAGAAGTGTAACCCAGACATACTGGAAGAGGCAGGTACTTAAAAAAAATAAAAAACTTCTCGCAAACCTTAGAAAAAGATAGTAATAATGTTGCGTTCATGTTTTGAGAAGAGGGAAAATGGAACACGTTGCGACCACTGAAAAGATTTCTGGAAAGAGAAACAGGGGAAGACAGCGCGAGAAAATTCTTGACAGCCTTTTCTCACGGCATCATTGGGTGTCAGCACACGAACTGATACATGCAGTTGCGGATCGCAGATTGTGGAGAGGCCAGTTGGCAAGGCACTTGATGATGATGAGAGTGGCGACATGAAAGGCATACAGTTATACAGACAAAATGAGACAGAGAGGAAGGGACATTTCATTTTGATATTTACTGGTACAGGAACGGAGCAAGTACGGGGAAACCCGAATGCAGTGAAGTTCAAACATCGACTAAGACTAAGACAAAATATGGAAACAGAAAGAGCGACTGAGATGTGATGCAAGAAAACGTGGTGATGAAGAAAACACAGCAGGGAACGATAGAGAAACAGAATGGCGATGAAAAGTAAAATAAAAAGATCCCTAAAGAATTAGACAGAGTGACAATGAGAAAGAAGACCACACGAAAGAGAGTCAGAATAAGATAAAGGGACATGATCTAAATTAGAGAAATGGGGAGATGGGGACAATGAAGAAATAAAACGAAGAGCAACAGCTAAACAATGAAAAAACAGACTAGAATTGACAGAAAGGGTAGAGGGGATAGCGAGAGTTAGGCATAGAGAAAAAACAAAAGTGGCGGTAAGCAAAAGAGAGCTTTACCGTATGGCACTTCAGAAAATCGTCAAATGTCAAATTTTATGAAAATTCTGGGAATGATCCCAGTAAATCATAATCTGCATCATCATCACCATCATCAAGTGCATTGCCAGCTGGCGTAGGTGTTCATGCGTTGCCTTAGACCTCGGTCTTGGGTATTCTGGATAAATTCTACTCATTTTATTCCTCCATGCTACTGTATTAAGCCATCCAGCATCATTTCTCTTGGTCTGCCTTTTCTACCAGTGATCTTTCCAGTTATATATAGTATGTTCTAGAATCATTTGTTCTCTACCCTAGATAGTGGAACCAATTAAAAACAAGGCTGTGATCCAACTGGAGAACAAGCCTTTAATAATAATTAGCATGGCGTATACTATATATATATATATATATATATATATGCCATGTTAAGTATTATTGTCGGCTCTGCGGCTAAGTCGATGCGAACGCTTCGTAATGCCGGGATGCCGGGTTCGATCCCCACTGTGGGCCATGCGCCTTGCGTTGGTTTCGACAGAGGTATCAAGAAATCTGACCGTCCAGAAAGCAATGACAAACTACTGGACGTAAATTTGCCTAGAAAACCACACAACAGCCAGGGGCTGTTGGGGTTGGTTCTGCAACGTCCTGTAAAGGATACGCAACTAACCTTATACTATTTATAGACCTTCATATTCTCATGTTCTTAAAATGTAGTTGTTTCCAGATGAGTAATAATAATAGGTGACAGGTTCAATTCCTGGCACGGGAACTATAGCTTTTGTATTTTATGTTGTCTAAAGCGTGCTTCTATCTTTTTGCTTCTTTCTTTGTGTGCTTATCAATACGCTGTCTTTTGGTTTTGGAAAGCACATTACTTTTGGTAGAGTATTCAGTATATCAGCGAGGTCCAGTATTTATTTTAATCCCAGTTTTTTAAAAAAAATGTGTCTATGCTATTATTTGGGTCATCAAATGCAATTATCGATCTAATCGATGCACTTTTTCATATGTGCTCATCCTTTAAAAAGGCAGTTGACATGTGATGTTGTGGTTTACAACTAGGCTGCGATACCTCTATCCGTATGTCCAATAATTTGATATCAGAAAACCCTAAATTAGTGGCATTTCACGACACGCTTGTAATGGGGCAGTTTGTCTATCCAGGTCCGGGCGGTAGAATTTTCAAAGTATGATGCAAGTCTTCCAAATACCAGCCCCTATAAATGTTTTATAATTTTTGCTTTAATATTACTGCTTTTTATTTCGCTATCTCCATATGGTGCCGCCTGATGCGACCGCGTCTCTGTATCATAAAACAGAAGGTTCTGTCCCCCCCCCCCTTCCTCTTCCCCCCACCTCAAACCCAGGCGGAGGGTTAATCAAATCTGAAACCAAAGGTTGTTAGCCCCTGAACCACACATGCTCCTAAGAATAAATCACGTTGCTGATGACAGACTTTGGCGCCGACATTTAAAGTAATCATATTTGTCAATTTTTTAAAGACTGCAGAATAATGTGAAAATATCCTCAGATATGAATCAAGTAAACGAAAGAATAGACAACACAACTCCACATCTAAAATGGGAGAAACCCGCCACTTGTAAAATTTAAAATTATAATAGCAGTAAAAGCAATGGCGGAATCATGCTTCGGTGAAGATTAAACATACACAAGCTGTCGTCGCAACAATTTGTGAGAAGCACATTATAACTAGAATGATAATTAGGGCAATTTTAGAGTTTAAGCGGAGTAAACCATAAAGGACCCCCAACGCCCGCTACGCATCCTGCATTATAATGTTGCAGTACGTTTCATAACTCATGCCGCTACACTTTTAACAAAAATCTCGAAAACTGCTGTACAGATCGACACAAATTTTTGCATGTGTCCTTAGATTTACCATGTCCTTATGATTCTATAATTTACAATTTCACAGGTGTTGTTGTTTACTTAAATCGGTTGATTTCTTTAATCTTTGATTAGGCGTGAGCGTCAAACTGTTAATTTTCAAAGACAAACTAATAAACCTAAAATCGTCTAGTAAAACCACAACCAGATAGCAAAAGCAAGGTTTGGCTTGTGACCCTTGAAAGAGCGAATACAACTAAATGTATCATGGCTATTGGTGGGTTGCAAAGCGGAAAAAAAAGAGGGAGCGGGGTGTCTTTTTCTTCAAATTTTCTCGCCAACATCTTTGCACCATTTTGTACCTACTGTGGTAGTCTGTTCGCAGGGTTGCACCGCAAGGGGGCATCGTAAACAGTGAAATCAACATTAAATTGAACTTTTCATCTGACAACGCGAGGCTGTTATGGGCAGTATTTGAAAGACTTTCGTCGTCCTGGGAAAATCAACCCCATGGGACAGCCAGTTCACTCTACTACGCTGTTCCTCTGCTCTTAATCAACAATTACCCCATCTGCTTTGTAATTAGTCAGTTCACCATCCAGTGGGACAAAGTCAGTCAATTTTTCTATACGTTCATTTCTCAACACACCGACAACCTCTGACGAAAAACGATACCAGTGACGCTGACCACCCTCGACTCCGGAAGTGATATTTGCCTGGTACGCTGTAAAATGAGATTAATCGTCAAAGGAGGCAGAAAAAAATTAGATTAATCGTCAAAAGAGGCCCCAAAAAATTTGATTAATCGTCAAAGAAGGCCCCAAAAAATTTGATTAATCGTCAAAGGAGGCCCACAAAAATTAGATTAATCGTCAAAGGAAGTCAATAAAATTAGATTAATCGTCAAAGGAGGCCCCCAAAAAAATTTGATTAATCGTCAAAGAAGGCCCAAAAAAATTAGATTAATCGTCAAAGGAGGCCCAAAAAAATTAGATTAATCGTCAAAGGAAGTCAATAAAATTAGATTAATCGTCAAAGGAGGCTCAAAAAATTAGATTAATCGTCAAAGGAAGTCAATAAAAGGAGATTAATCGTCAAAAGAGGTCAACAAACATAATCACACCATAAGTTACTTGGGAAAGAATCATCATCGTTTAAAGAAAAAAGTGTTGCCATTTCGGTTCTTTTATTTTAAATCACCCTATTTCGAGGACTCCGAGATTTCATGGGGAGTTCCCGGAAAAGTCCAATATTGGGGGGTGGGGGAGGGGAGTGAAGGGGTGGTTATGGCGTGAAATCAACACCCACTAACACTAACTTTAAACTCGGAGTCCCTGAGATGGAGTGAACTAAAATAAAAAAAAACGCTATTTTTCATAATACAAGGAAAAACAATAATGCAGTAGTGAAGTAAAAAACAAAAATAACCTTTGAGATTATTTATGCCATTAGTGCATCCGGCAGATGATGATAGACTCATATTTCCATAGACTAACAGAGCTTAGTAGGTGATGTAATCAACATCATCCAAGC